TTTGTCGTTCTTCTCCAATGTAGTAGAGTAGCCCATCCTGCTATCGTCCTTGTTTAATGTGTGTCTACTCTTCTACTCTACCAACCATGCTCTTGCCGCTACTCTTCGTATAGCTATACTGTGTTGTCTGATTTCCTTCAATCTCCGCAGTCGTTGACTTAAGTAATTTTCATTATCCTCTGCTGTTGTGAGCTCCTCACCCATGAATCCCGTCTGTAACCCTACCTACCAATAACGAAGACATCGGGGGGCGCTATTCATCCCTGCTCTTTTTTTTCCTTTTCCTTTTCCTTTTCCTTTTTCTTTTTCTTTTTCTTTTTCTTTTTCTTTTTCTTTTTCTTTTTCTTTTTCTTTTTCTTTTTCTTTTTCTTTTTCTTTTTCTTTTTCTTTTTCTTTTTCTTTTTCTTTTCCTTTTTGATTTTTGATTTTTTTTTTTTTTCCCCACCATCGCTTAAAATTGTCACTTTGGACGCCTTTGTTCTATTTGTCTTGAATTAGACCGACTGGCTGACCTTGACCATTTTGTGCCGCCCTTTAGAGCCCCATAACCCCAGAAAACTCGGTTCTTCACGAGCACAGCTTTAGCTTTTGCTTTAAAACGCCAGAATGTCGAAGCTTTTTGTTGGGTCCGTTAATATATATATATATATATTTTCTCGCTCTCGTTAAACTAGCGAAGATGTAACTAACACAGCATCTGGCAATGCAGTGGCCTTGCATGGCATACAACCGACGAGACCTTGCGCGTAGGGTTTGAGAAGTATGGTACTATTGAGGAAGCGGTTAGTTTATTCCTAAAGAGACAAGATCTCTCTTCCTACTTTCTTTGCGTAATTAATGTCGTCCAAGTCGCTCATTAATTTTTGATTACTCGCTGTAGACTGTTGTCAAGGACCGCGACACAAACCGCAGTCGTGGATTCGGTTTCGTCCGCTTCGCTAGTGACACTGAGGCGGACACCGCGATGAACGCAATGAACAACCAGGAGTACGTTGGAGCCATTCTGGAAACGTCGGGGATATAGTCCCGGCGTTTTAATTTATTCGTTACCGGTGAACATCGTTGAGATTGACCCGACCAGGTTCGATGGCCGTGTCATCCGAGTCGACAAAGCCTCTGACCGTTCTACCCAGCGCAATGACGGCTTCCATGGGCGTGGCCAGTACAACCGCTTCAATGGCGGCGGTGGTGGAGGCGGCTACCGCGGCGGTAGCGGCTATGGTAAATAGTTCTCTCCTTTCGCCTGCGGTTTGTACAATATTTTTGATAAATATCTAACACGAATCAATATAGGCGGAGGTGGAGGATATGGTGATCGCCAAGCTGGCGGAGGCGGTAAGCTAAGCACCTAGATTAGAATCAGTTCACAAATTACTCCTGTTTACATGGTCCTTCTGACCCAATCCACTTGACTGACTTGCCTCCCTACAGGTTGGGATAATCACCAGCAACATACGTATGGCGGCGGCCAGGGCCAGTGAAGTGCTTGGGCCTAGATAATTACGATTAAGCGCACACGGTCGGAGACAGCAATTTTTCCCAAGCTAACGTCAAACCCCTTTTATACCCCGAAGTACCTCTCACGAAGCCCCGATCTCTGCACATCAGTTTCACCAAGGTGTCGACGATACAAAGAACTATGAGAACATGAGACAGCAATCAACGAGCCACGATCAGAACGATTAAAAGAAAATCGGGATATTATGGAACATGTACCCCTCGATTCATTATTCATCTATTTTAATTATATCTTCAGGCTCTTTCATCCCGCTCTATACCATGTAATTGGCATCGAAATGATTTTTTTCCCCTTCCATTTTCTTGTACCCTTTACGCGGCGATACACGACTTCGACCTTCCACATTGCATCCCAACGATTCCCACTTGTGCTGTAGTTTCTATCTAAAAAAAAAAGCCTCCAGACTCATTTTGCAGCTCCTGGTTTGTTATATTTCTGAACCATAATGCCAACTATCAGTCCCTGGCGGTGGACTTCATATTTTTTGAGGGTTTAATTGATTCATTTTTTGCTTTTGTCCGTATCGCTATTGCTGTCTCGTGCGTTTTATCAGGTTTCATCCCCTACTCTACTACTATCTCCGCTCCTCAACGACTAGCTAGCTAATCCCTTGCCCTTATTATTTTCTTTTTCTAGCCCAACCGTCTCTAAGAGCACTGTTTCCTCTATTTCTGACCTTAACCACAACCTAACGCGTTCTACGGTTTAACTCTGATCCTCCCCTCCTGCTTGACTGATTCTACCCCTGAACACGCATGAATTCCTTGCTGCTTCATCCACGTTGCTAAATTTGTATCGTTTTGTCCTTGTTTATTGCGTAATTTCTCCCCTGCCTTTTTTGTCTAAGAGACGGAACTGAAATCGAAAGTGACGAAATTTGATCAACTGGAGAAAAAAGAAAAATTGAATAGCGAAGGAATGAGATGTGTCTACACTTTATCCTGTTTCCGGTCCTGTTTCTTTCCCTGTTCTATTTTGTCCTCTATTGGATCCTAGCTAGCCTCCTCCTTTTCCTTTTAAATGCTAGTTATGCAAAGCTATGATGTTTTTCTTCGCGGACCGACGGACTGGCAAAAGCTCCCTCCTACCTCCTTTCCTTTGTCCATTTACTACTCTTGCCTTTCTTTTCCTTTTCACGCTTTCCTTTCAAGCTTACATATTTCCATGCCCATCCTACTGTGCGCATAAGGTTTACAGGTATGGTATCACAGGCCACCGATATTCATGGATGTGAGTATAATGTAGTGGAACGTATGAGAGATTGGTGTATGGGAAGCTCTTCCCAGCGATACACCGCTTGGGATTTGACAGAGCAGATGACAGAAATGTTCAGACGATCACGGGTAAATTGGGCGGACGGGAAAGGTCAAGAGGTTTGTTCGCGCCATGGTCTATTCGCCCATTGCCACTGCTTATAGTACTTCACCTCACCATACCATACCGCAGCGAACCGCACGACACAAAAAATTCCGGAACATCTAGAAGCTCTAATTCTATAACCAAACCCGCACTCAGTTCTATCCCCATAAAACATGGGCCACAACTCTCAAAACCCCGACCCATTTCCTCCCTATTCCGCCCCCACATCCCCACCCTCAAACTCCTCCATCCGCTCCACCTTCTCTCCCTCCCGCATCTCCGGCCCCGGCAAATGTTCCAGCACAATCTCACTCTTCCTCCGATCCGCCTCACTAATCTCCCTCCCCTCAATAGCCCTCACCCTCCTTGCCAAATCGGCAATATGGCTATCTACAACCCTTCCAACCCCGTCCCCATCCCCATTCCCGTCCAGCCCGCCAGCAAACTCAGGCCCTTCCAACGCTTTCTCCAACAGGTACAAATACTCACGATTCTCCCCGCTCTGCCCGCAGCTCTGGCTGATGACACGCGCGACGTTGGCCGGGTCGCGGTCTGTGGGGTTGCGGAGGAATTGGGCATTTGTGGGCAGGCCGATGTAGACCATGCATGTTATGGGGGAGGTTGGTGAAGTGATGGTGGTGTTATTGTTGTTAGTGGTGGTGGTGGTGGTGGTGGTGGATGATGGTGCTGGGTGGAAAGGGGTGAAGTGGACGGTGTAGCCGTCTATTTCCCTATCGTCTAGGTAGGCGTGGACTTCCTCTGCGTGGGAGGCCGGGATGTGATAGGCTGCGCCCCAGACGGTAGAGGGTTTGGAGTTGTTTGATTGGACATCACGTTGCTGTTGTTGATTGTTAGAAAAAGGGGGGTTCGGTCATATATGGTGGGGGTTTGCTTGTTAGGGGGATGATGGGTCGTTCTTTAGAAGTGCTAACCGGGTCTGATAGTGTTTCCCAGAATGATTGTTCGATTACAGTGACAACCCGCCCGGGTGATTCACGGGTTCCTCTGTGGTCTCCGCTGTTTGTTTTCATGAAAAATATGAAAGTTAGTGATATTGGCACCCTAGCTTTGGCACGAGTGCGTCATATAAAGGAGCAAAAAGCCCCGGGTATCAGGTATGAAGGCCTTTCTCATCAGGTCCGTTAAACAAAAGTAAATATGTAGCCATACCTCGCCTTCAAATAGTAAAAAAAAGAACACCAAAGAGGAATATCAGCTTCCCGTCTCTCGTCTACATATACCTCATGAAGAGTTCAAATAACACCACGTCGTAGGTAGATCATCCATTTTCTAAATAAATCGAAAGACATACCTGCCAGAACCGTCGAACATAGCCTTCTATGTATCCGAGCAATCTTTGATCTACGTAAACGGTTAGTAGAGGCTTTACTAGATACAATTTTTTATAGTTTAGGGTGTACGGTGTACGGTGAGGATGTTCCCCGCAGTCGAAGTATCGGTATCAAGGATCTGATAACCCATGAGATGAGGCTTTGTAAAAAAAGAGACTCTTGTCCCCAACGGTGGTGTAGATCCCTCTGTGAATCTTCACGGTATATAAAAAGAATATTTAACATACCATAATGTGGCGGTGGCTTCCAGATTAGACTCCTAAAAGATAGCGGTCAAAAAAATCTGCGGTTGGACGAAAGGTAGCCGAAAGGGAGTAATAAAAATAAAAATAAAAATAAAATAAAACCACAATCTAGGTATAATAATCCGACGGCATATATACAAAAGAAAAAAATCTTTACAAACCCATAGCCGAAAACCCATAAATCCCCGTTCGGGAAATGGCTCTTCCAAGAGCTTGGGGCTGGTATTTCAGAATGTGGCATAGGGGAGGATGTTTCTGTTCGTTTGGGCGATACCTTCTCCCGGGGCGGACTCCCTGTAGGAAGATAATAAGGAGGAGACAAATGGAATAAAGATGAGGTTATAATACTGAAATGCTGGGGGGAGGGGGGTGTCTATGGCTCCGTATACATTTAACTACGTTAACTGAGGTTGCAATTAGTTACTGCGTAACGTAACTTAACTAGTTAATTGTCAGCATCGCGCCGCGGGATGTTTGCAAGTTTTGCACTCTTTAACTAGCTCCACTCAGTTTTTTCAACGACCAGCGCAATCATTTTAATATTTATCCATCCCATACTTAACTACGGAGTACTGCGTACGGAGTAGTTAGCCAACCAATTCCCCTCCCTCCTCCCCCATCCCATCCCCATGACATATGATTAGCCAGCTGTCTGGGTAACTAACTTAACTAACGACCTCAGTACAAACAAATTGTTTACATCGTATGGCCTAGGAAAGAGGAAGAGGAGGAAGACTGGATCCTTGGCATTGCAGATGGAAGTCTCAGCCACCGCCAATTTAGGGCTTAGTTAGGGCTGAAAGGCTTAGGTAAAAAGGGCTTGGTCGCCTGTTCCGCTGTACGAACCAGACTCCAGACACAATCGCGATGTTTCCCCGCCATGAATGCGACTCTCACCATCCAAGATCTCTGGCCCCTTAGATTCCTGACAGGAGCCATTCTATATATTAATAGCCCGTGGCATTTTGAAAACAACGAGATTTCAGCCCGCTTCGTATTGTTGCGCTCTATTAACTTATTCAACACGGAATCAGCAAACCGGCTTGGCGGTTGGGCTAGCTCAAGACTAGGAGTTCGTCTGACCGATTCACCAACCCAATACATATCATATCGTCATTGTCAGGCTGTACTCTTCTGTTATTAGTATCACGACCATCACCCTGCTGGTAATTTTTTTTTTTTATAAACCACCCGCTCCAACTCCCTGATCTCTGCCTACCATAGACTGCAGCACACATCGCCCACCATGGCATACAAGGGCGCATACAACCCTGATGCACTTCCCGCGTACGTGCTCTAGCTTTCCTCCTCCTCTCCACTATCTTAGAATGGCGACTGGAGACTAACTAGCAGTTATCCGCCTGCAGACATGCGGAGCCAGAGCAGGTACGTTGACAAATGGCTCCTCTCTAGGGAAAGGTTCTCCAATCCCACGTTTGCCAGTGACGGCTTTTGTCCGTTGGATTAACAGTTAGCTCACCTCTCTTTGTTCTTAGGTGGCACAAATGCTAGGCGAAATGTCCGCTCGACAAGATCCAAACCGAGAGCGCCCCCCTATGCCACCGCCAAAAAACGGCCCACCACCTCAGCAGACCCGCATCTCCCCTACCCAAAGACCAGAACCCCATTCACAAATACCCACGCAACATAGCTACGCACGTACAGGCAGCGGTGGCGGTCCCGGAGTCGTTCCGCCTGGAGCAGTACAAGCTACCGCAGGACAGTATGGTGGAAGAGGAGCCCCTATTTCCAGTACCAGCGGTCGTCTCTATTCCCCGCCCCCTCGAAACTACGGCTTTGGGCCTCCTCCTGCGCACCCGGCCCAGAACCGGCCCACCCCAACATGCGGACCGCCACGAAGCCCTCAACCTTCGGGGCCTGGCTTACCACAATCTGACGACCCCAAAGAACTCTTCCCTCTCTTCCGCGCCGCCAATGCGTCCAACTCAGGCGCCCTATCTGAAACAGAACTGGGGTCCGCCCTAGTAAATGCAGACTATACCTCCTTCGACGCGTACACGGTAAAAATGATGATCCGTATGTTCGACAAGGACGGGTCTGGCAGCGTAGGGTTCGACGAGTTCGTTGCCCTGTGGCGGTTCCTGGCCGCCTGGCGGGAGCTCTTTGAGCGCTTCGATGAGGATCGTAGCGGCCGGATTAGCCTGGCGGAGTTTAGCAAGGCGCTGATCGCGTTTGGGTATACGCTTAGTCCGCCGTTTGTGGGGATGATATTTTCGATATTTGAGAATAGGGCGAGGAACAAGGGGACGCCCATACCCGGGCAGAAGGACGGGATGAGCTTTGATCTATTTGTGCAAGCGTGCATTACGCTCAAACGTATGACGGATGTGTTTAAGAGGTATGATGATGATAGGGATGGATATATTACACTGGGTTTTGAGGAGTTTTTAACTGGTTAGTGCTTCATTTTTCATTTTTCCCGTGTGCGATTGCCATTAAACTTCCTCCGTGTATTTTACTGAACTCTAACATGTCCTTTGCGACGATGTAGAATGTTTACGCCTTCGCGAATGAGACGTCAGAGATGACCTATTACATAGGCTAAGTGCACAACCGTTTTCTACATCCCTAATAACTGTAATAACTAGATATTTGGTCCGGTTCTTTTCGCGACGCAATTTATCTGCCTTTCTTTTTTTTTTTCTCTTTCCTTTCTCTTCTCTTCTTTTTCTTTTTCTTTTTCTATTCTTTTTTTTCGGATTATCCATTTTGGGCTCCTTTCATATACCATACCAATGATTGAATGAAATTTCCTACCTTAGATCAGGGGTATAAAGGGAAAGGGCCCGATAGAGACAGAGGATATCAGGTAAAACACGTGCTTAACCTTGACTAAAATGTTAATTTTAGAGTATTGCCTCCTGAGTAGTCAATAACGATGCCATGGCTGAAGTCTGGACTCTGGTAGTGAAGAGAGCAAAAAACAATTTCAATCAGCTTGAGGCATAAATATGAGGCTCTTTGCTGCATCCCCGCTCCCTGAGGCTCCGGAACAGTGAGATTGCCCGAATCCGGGACCAAAATGGACGTTGGCATCAGCACGACAAAGAACAGAAATAGAAATTGTCACTTCTGACAAACATCATCCTATGATTCAATGAGAGCAGTTTTGTGTTGATATCGTTGTCTTTTCTTCAATTATCTATATAGTTACTAAAACTATATATGTGAAGGCCAGATAAAAGCACAGAGCTCTATGTTCAAATTATACTTTTGGACAGGGACATACATACAAAAATGCAGGACGGGGTATACTATATACAACAAGACAGTAAAATCAAATGAACAAGAAAGGTAGGGGATTCCACACTAAAAAATATCACAATCTAAACAGGCTCTTTCATTGCGCCGTCCCCGTTCCCGTTCCCATTCGCGGCCTTGTCTTGCAGCTTCTTCTCCTTTCTCTCACGTTTCGCAGTGATACGGGCCTGTCTGGCAAGCTCCTGCGCTTCTAGCCCTGTCTTGGTAATTTCGTGATCCCGACTAAGTTCCTTCTTCCGGATGAAAAAGCTGAATACGCAGCCGACTGCACCAATAGCAGTATAGAAAATCCATACACGGCTAAATGCGACGTTATATATATCCAACACGGTATCTCGCTGCGCCTGCGTTAATGCCGCTAGACTCTCCGCTCGTGGACCGGCGAAATTTCCAAGAAATGACTCCGCGAGCTCTGGGCCGAGTGCAGCCAGTAGCTTTGAGGCGGATTGTTTGAGGACGTTCTGATAGACCACTCCACCCAGCACAACAGAGGAGGCAGTCGAGAGCTGTCTGATAAATGAATGCGTTGAAGTCGCGGTTGATACTTCCGATTGGGGGACTCGCGATTGCAGAGCTAGCAAGGGAGCTTGGAAATTCGGACCAGTTCCAATTCCGGCAATGGTTTGGTATATAATCAGCCTTGGCCACGATGTGTATGGTTTAAAATCGATGTATAATCCAGTACCCAGCGTCATGACGAGCATACCCAATCTGATATATTCGACATATGTGCCCGTCTTGCGGATGATGAAGCCGATGATAAAGGAAACGACGGATAGAGAGACTGCCTGAGGCAGAATATAGACACCACTCATGATGGGGGACGTGCCGAGGACCGTTTGGAAGTATAGTGGGAGGAAAAACGCGCCGGCGATGAAGTTCGACGCGTGCGACCAGTTTACTAATAGGGTGAAGACATTACTCGAGTCTGCGAACAGGGACATTGGCAGGATGGGGTACTTGGCCACTTTGCGTTCGATGATGACAAAAATTCCCAGGGTGATGGCGCCGAAAACTATGAGGCAAATCACCGTTGCGGAATTCCAGGGGTTAGCTACCCCGCCGAATTCGAGGCCGAGGAGGAACATTAGTGTTCCACCGATAACGACTATGGTGCCCAGCCAGTCAATTGTGCGCAGACCGGCGATTAGAGGGGTTTTGGGCGTTTCGATTTTGAGCCATATGATGAGGGTTGCAAGGGCCACGCCGCCGAATGGGACTGTCGAGGGAAATAATGTTAAGTACTCGAAAGGTTACAAATGTGGATTGGGTTACTGACGGTTGATATAGAAACACCATCTCCATGTCACCTTCTCAGTAAATATGCCTCCCACAACGGGACCCAGGGAGCCTGCGATAGCCCACGTCATGCCGAACATGGCATAATATATTGGACGATCTCTATCAATTTCACAGATTTGCAGTTCAGCAAACGGCTTATTTCATTTTTTTTAGAACAACGAAGCATTGAAATGGGGTTGAATATAACTAGGAGAAAAATCGAAGGATTGAAAATCATCAATTGAAATGTTTGCACACCTACACACCTTTGACTAAACAAATCACCCACGCAAATCTGTCCGAGCAGAACCAGACCGCCGCCGCCGACTCCTTGAATGGTTCTTCCCGCAATCAGTGTTGCTGTATTCGGCGCTAGAGCGCACATCAGACTCGAGAGCAGAAATAGAACGTTTGCGAAGACAATGATAGGCTTGCGGCCCCATATGTCACTCAGTTTCCCCCAGAGAGGAATGACTGCGGCATTCCCCAGGAGGTAGGATGAGGCCATCCATGAATAGCCGCTTTCAGATGCGTTGAACTGGCTGGCGATTGTGGGGAGCGCGGTGGCTATAATTGACTATTGTAGAGTTAATATCTACAGGCGCTGAAAAGGGGGGAAAGATGATGGCTCACCATGTCAAGAGCTGCGAGAAATAGAGCGATCTAGTTTTATATATGCGAAATATGCGTTAGCTCTCCGAAATCTTATATCCGCCATTTTCCACTTCTTATCAGAGATAGAAAATGAAACTGGCCTCTGAGGGAATTTCGGGGAGGCTTGTTTAAATCCACTCACACATAGCGCAAACATGACCACAAATATCTGCTTCTTGGTCATTTTCTCACTCTGCGGCGGACGATCATCGGCCGTAGCAGCTGTCGTTGAATCATTTTCCTCTGTTCTCGGACTTGCTTGGCTATCTGATTCAAATTCGTCCTGCTCCTGGTTACCACTCTCTGTCCCACTTCCCTTTGTGTTGAGAATTCCCATTCCAGCAGGCTTTCCGCAATCAAAATCTTTTTCCATGATCGGGCTATGGCCTGCCTGTATCGTGGAAGAACAATCGTGTGTGTGATCTTCGTCGGGAACGCCCATGTTTTTCGCACTGGATGCAAAGAGATCTTTCAAGACTCCGTCTGCAACAACAACTCCTATACAGCAATCAACCAGCGCAAAGAGATCTTTTGAATTAACTAGTAATTATAATGTGGATAGTGGATATGCTAATGTCAACGGCGAACGAACAGGAAATGCAAGAACTGAAAAAGCAGTCCCAAAAAAGTGTTTCACGGTCTCTCGGTTCCAAATTTGGAAACAATTATATAGGGCGGAAAGATTGTCCTATATCACAAACGCCCCCTGCACAGGATAAGCAAGACCAGAGCGACATACCACGAAAAGGCAGGAAAATCGAAGACAGAAAAAGAAAATTCAGAACCCCATTCCACAGGAGCTTAGGTGCGCCGAAGAATATGAGTAAATGTGTTTGGGTGAACGGCAAAAAGGGCGGCAAAAGACGGGGGACCGACCCCAGTTCCCAGCCCTCGGCAGCCAACTTGGAAATTCTAGATCTCCTTGCTTATTGATCGAATCCACTCGGCAACTCGGTTTTCCGACTTTGCCCCATCGTAAATACGAAAACTATTTGGTGGGAGCTAACCTAAAGCGATTCCCTAACGCCCGAGTCGAGGATAGGGCCGGTTTAACGTCATGGCCGGACATTATTGTTTGTTTACCTGTTTCCAGCTGCGTGGTTAGAGAAGGGAAAGTAGATGTCATAAAAGCTTAGCCTGGCTAGCTTTCTGGGTACGATCAATTTTTGATAACTAGTGGCTACAATCCGGGGGCTAAAGAAGTTAAACAACCCTCTACAATAAATATTAATACCGTGTATCTGCTCACAAATTGGCGATGGCAAGACCTTCAAGTTGCCGAGGTGCACCAAAGCTTACGCCGTCGTCGTGTATCCGATTGGCCAGATTGAGGAAAAACCTCCTCAACTCCCTTTTGATACTGGGTGCTGAGGGGGAGAATGAATTATTATACTACGTATATATAATTTTTTTTTTTTGATACGTTGTCATTTTTCGCACCTCCTCCATGGTCAAAGCGCCTGCATATTTTGTGTTTTGTTCTTGTTCCTTAGAACCTTCAAACCACGCGACGAATTCCGATCTGTGAACTTTTATTGGTGGCTTTCCCACGTGTGGAGCACGCTGTGGCTGGATGAAGGGAGTGCTAAAATAGAAAATATGATATAGGAACCGCGCTTCGCCGCAGCGACAACCGGATTCTTTCACCCCCTATTCAGGTGGGAGATTCTTTTGCGCATAAGGCGATTCTTGTTTCCATCATTCATCATAATCACATTGCCCATGCTCGGGACACTTCATCTTTTAGTCGCCGGAGTTTAAACTCAGACTTTCGGTTACAGGTTCACTGACGCCTAGGCAATGGCCGGAATTAAAAAAGCTGGACTCTCAAGTACGACTTCTTAACTCCGATGCCAGCTCCATACTTCAGCTCACCCAACCCCGCTCTCGCAGAGGATCCCGACAGCAAGTTACAAACAGTCCAGATTTCAGACTCATATTGCGAACCCGAATCCTGTCGCGGAAAGAAATAGTTGTCGATCACGGCACAAATGGTTGGCTGAGACGCAAATCGTAGGATGCTTAAGGATCGCACCCCCCTCCCCACAACCTTGAAATTCATGGTAAGGGATAGCAACGGCAATTTCAGAAATTCTAAGTGCCCTCCCTATGTGCCGATACCCGTTTCGTTGAGCCGTCGGACAGAAGCGGTCTGGACTACTTATTGCGAACCACTGCATGCGCATCTCAGCCTAAACCAACATTTGCATGACACATCGAATAGATCAGGGACTTCCTTTTACGTGTGTTTCCAGGCTCTGGAACACCTTACTCTTTGCTCCGACCCTGTTGCACGGACCCCGGGGTTAGCAGGCAGGCGAAGATCATTCCCGAGACGCTCGAAAACCCAATAAATATACCTCCAACATTTCGTTTCCAAGCGACCGGGGTGTGCGTGGCGCCCTTCCGACATAGAATTTTGGCGCTTCTAACTACTATTGTGTTTCTAGTACCGAATCATAGAAAGCCCTATCACAGAGGACTAGCTAGACCTGATTTTGAGTAATTGTTTTCGGAAGGAATCAAGGCTCTCTTTCGCAGGTAGGTAATGATAGTTGCCTCTGCTTATTCCGATTTCGGTACAATATCTAATTGGCCGTCGAACCCCCAGAAACGCGTGCCCGAAACTTTCAACACCTGCATCGGTATCACGGTACATACCTTCGTTTCCGCGGTGAACGAAGACTGCGCATAAAACCAACAAACAGATTAGACGCAAGTGCCGCGGTTCGCTCTTCCATCGGGAGGGACAGCTCCGTCAAGTCTAACCAGACTTCCTGGTATATCCTAGGTTCACTTCTGGTAACACGTGGGAACGTTAAACGACCTCAACGAGGCATAAACGAATGACCATCCCGAACCTATAGAGCAGGATCTAAGTCAGTTCCCCGAAAGTCTGAAAATGAAGCCTGATAAGCAAACCCCATTTGCAAAGTTCCAGAAATATATTCGTGTGAGATCTCGCACATGATTCCCTTATTTGCGGGCCGCACTGGAAGGCAGTACTGGGCGTTTAACCTCTTCACATCGGATTGTCACGTTCTACCAATCTCCTCGTTTTCCATTGAGTTATAGCAGTTGAACTTCACAAGCAGGTCTTGGTATATGCTATGATTCATCCACAGTACTGGAACTTCGATGTGTGGGGGAGTCATCCGCTCCTACGTTTTGTTTTGTCTGGTCACAGAAGCATGCAGCAGGTATGTTACATACAGACAATGGCAGACATCCTGGGATGTGTTTTGAACTCGTTTTCTGGAAACGTCACCTGAACCCCTCACCTCAGCTCTTCTCTCTCACTATCATTGTTGTTCGCCAAGCGCAACATACTTGCCGTTCCAGGCGCATGATGACTTCTTTTTATCTGCCCAAGTGTGACAGAAACATCACATTGGTTAAGCAGCCTGAAGCCTCGCTCTCAGCATTATAGAGCAATTCTCCTTGAAATGCACCTGTGAGGAGGACAGTAAAAGAAGATGAGATGATATGAAGATGAACAATTTCCCTTCTGGTGTCATTTTGATACGTCCATATCAGCTAACACTATCATGCCTAAATTTAGAGACTCTACAGAGGATATCTATGGCTCTAACTAAAGATATCTATGGCCAAGCCTCCTCACAGTCTACTAGTCTCAGGTAAGTTAACAGCCATCTTCAAGATCAATGGGCGATACCACGAAATAGTGACCTTATAAGCGTCGTCTCCTTCGAAGCAATCCCCTAGAAAGTTAATACCATGTGTCGGCGTGTTTCATTTTTATATGGAAAAAGGTACCCAGACCCGATAACTGGCTCTGATATATCAAGACGTGGCATGGCAGCTCTCTGCGTCTATCGGTGCTAGATTGATTGTCCTATTTCAGAGCTCAAGCTCGGTTTCTGAGGAATAAAGAATAATGATTGATTGCGTGACAGTATAAATGGAGTCGAGTCGGGGGATCTCCACTGTGGATTTTCTAGAAAACCAACGGAGGTGACTTGCCTAAAACAGGCAAATAACCAGAAGCTGGAGTCGTTCAGGTCCGTGGGGGTAGTTAATAAAATAATAATAATAATAATAATAGCCAAATATATTTCGTCTGTCACAACTCGCAACCTAGGTCGAGGTTGTGCCCAGAAACTGTTTTCCGGTTAAGCTGGGCCGAGGCTGTTTTTGGGGAGGTAAAAAAAGAAGAAGAAAAAAACAAGAAGAAAAAAGCTTTGTTGTTGATTGAGGGTTTGTTCAAGTTGAACAAAAAGAGGAAATTAATAAAATGTTTCCCTGATGGATGTATACAGCAATGGTAAATTTTGTCCCTTGTTTGTAGAGTTCAATGAAGCGTCAAGGATTGGTTTGGAGGAGGATAAGGGTGTTGCTATCCAACCACATACTTAGGGAAAATGCGAGATGTACTGTACACAAATTTTTGATAATGTTGCGTCTAGCTACGGAGTATTTATTCTGAGGTTGTTTAAATAATAAGTGTGGAAAAAAAAAAGGCCGTAAACGGTTCCACAACGCTTTCCGGGGTACGAATAATGGCTCCGGGTGGGAATATATCCTGATCTCTCTCCATATGTTTATTGTTTATGAGTTACGTTTACTTTCAAGATCCATCCAAACCCATTTCTGCTTCCGGAGGTTCTGCTGTTCGGAAAATTCGGCCGTTTTGGAAGCTTACCGATGCTGCATGCACGAATGGTTACATACTCACTGTACAGAGACCTGAATTATACCTCTTAGAAAAAAAATTCTAGGGATAGATGCGATACGCGTTCTGCGCAAACTGATGGAATAGTAGAGGTAATTCCTCTTTTCAGTCGAAAAAAAAACCGGGGGAGAAGGGGATAAAAAAAAAAAAAAAAAAAAAAAAAAAGAGTTCCCAACAGCTGCCGGAGCAGAGAAATGCTTTGGGAAATAGGTCCTTGCCGCGTTCTGGTTGGATGGCAAACCATAGCGATAGCGGCCCCTGCACGATGAGATTGATATCGAAGTCATGCCCTGTGGCTTCTTTGGCTGGCATATTTTGGCTCGCTCACCACCCTTCTCCACAGCCTCCAACCAGCTGAATAATGATAAGCTCAGGTCAGCCGTCAGCGGGGATGATGACTGTGACAGGTACATAAACACTCCGTAGAACCACTTCAGGGTGAGATGGAGAACAAATGTCTGCACTTTTGTATGTACTTTTTTTTTTGGTCCGACAAGGAAACATACGAGGGTGTCTGCGAAGCTGGGGGAGCACTGTGCTCCGAAGTTGACCGTGGCCTCTTAGAGCAAGCGGGAGGGGGCCATAAAAAGAAAACAGCCATTTTGATCTCGTCTTCGCTCCCCTTATCTCGTTGAGACAGGCTTGCTTAGATCTTTCCTCAGGGTATGTACGCGTATATATAGTAGAGTAGTAGAGTCGATGCAAACGGTGGGGTAACGGCACTCATTAATAACAATTTGCCCAATTGGCATTACCAAAGGTGGGAATAGTGTGATTTATCTGTAACTACTCCGTACAGATTATCAAGCAGCCGTTTTGCTTCGACGAGGATTTGCAGCGATTAATTTATTAGCGAGTCTCCTGCTAGGGCCAGGAGTGGAGACCATTCGGTGAGCAACCAGCGCAAATTTTTTTGGATAAAACGCTGGCCGAAAAATTTGCCATGCATGACGTTTTTGACCGCTAAGTGGTAGTTAGTTAACTTGAAGGCGAGGGGGCGAGCTCAACGAGTCAACGCCAAACAAACGCTGGGATAACTAAGTTAATATTCTTTGCTTTTTCCTTGGTCCCTCTCAACCCCACCATGAGAATAGATTGAAGGAGAGCTCGGGTCGGTTTCAGTTCTGAGGATATGCTTCAGCGAAGATCTTCGGGCCTTCGTTCCTGAGCGAAAGAAGTACTCTGCTGTCATCTTTTTCTGGATCCAGGTGAGCTGCTACTGGCAATTCTGTCGCTTGCCTTCTAATAAGTAACTACGAAGTAACTTAGTTATTAGTTAGTTAAGTAGTTACTGTAATAAAAATTTGATTGATATGGGGCTTTCTTCGGACAGCTCATCTGCAATATTCTTCCCCTCTCCAACGAAATCCGGATTGGCCTTTCGAATGGCACGGGCTTGACAAAGGAGCAAGCAGAAATAAGAATATCACATATCACAGCCATGACTGACAATTGGCGCAGGCACTGGTGTGACACAATACAAGTAACTGCGTAGTGGTTGTGGTGCGAACGGCAGCCCGTAACTCAGCCAAGTCTTCCCATCAATCCGTTTCCCGTGGAGACTCTGGAGAGCTTGCAAGCTGGATGTAACCAGCTGGGCACTTGTAGTAGTTAAACTGTCGCTCGCGCCGCCACCCAAGCCAGCCTCTGTTGTAGTAGTCATTTCCATGATTGTTTAGTTAAAACCCAATGCCATGCCATGCCCCCCCCCCCCCCGCCCCCACCAGACAGACACTGGCCCTCAAACCATTAATTATTATTTATCATTGAGTCTGATTCAACCCTTTTTGTTGACCTTGATCTCTGTCCCGCCGCCTTTCCCGCACTGCTGCAGTTTTGTTCCGCGAAAGGAGCTGGCGGCTGTGTCATCATCAGCACATCCGCAACATCGTCTCCCCCAACCACAACCACAACCACCCGTCCTCGTTTCCGCCTTTTCCAACTCGGATTCTTCTTGCTCTCTTTCCCTTCGCAATCTTAAACTCCTCTTCCATCTCATGTCGTGGTCTTGACTTGCCTTCTTTCTCTATCTTGCGTCTTATCTTGGAACCTTGCGCCATTTCTCTCCGTCGTACGTGCCAACATTTTCTTCTGGAGTCGGACTCGAAGCTCACCTCCTCCCCCCGACACATCCCACCTTAAACCCTGGGCCAATTGCACAATGGCCAGCTCGCTTGCCGACTCTTCAGGCAGGCATGGTGCTCCGTAAGTTATCTCTGTGTTGAACAGGACCGTCTCTACCAGCTGAGCTGTGCCCTGTCAGAAAATCCTGCCCAAAACACAGACAACGAGGTAGCAAGTGATGCGCATTTTGGCTTTCATGTCTTCTACCACTGGGCTGTACTTAGCAAGTAGAGCTTATCGTGGCCTGTTCGCATCTCCGTCATCTCTTAGTCTACCTCTGGTTCATTCATTCCTCCATGACTTTCATTGTTACCACTCTTTCGGAGTTGATTTTACTAATTTTCATATTTCTCTCTGCCCAATTAGCTCGATCGAATTGAAAGATGACACAGTCATCGTCGTTCTTGGTGCATCAGGGGACCTGGCAAAAAAGAAAACTGTGAGTTTCTTAACCTGCCAGACACTCACAGCTCATACTAACGAAATCGCAGTTCCCCGCCTTGTTTGGCCTGGTAAGCGGATTAACCCTCGGTTCTCTGTAAAGTATAGGAATTACCATGAAGTCATGGATTAACCGCCGTTTTACAGTACCGCAATAAATTCCTCCCGAAAGATATCAAAATCATCGGATATGCGCGAACAAAGATGGACCACACTGAATACATCCGGAGGGTACGGTCATATATCAAGGTACCCTCTAAAGACGTTGAGGATCAGCTTGCTGGGTTCTGCGATCTTTGCACGTATATTTCGGGCCAATATGATCAGGATGACTCCTTCGTTGCCTTAAACAAACACCTGGAGGAGCTCGAGAAGGGGCAGAAGGAACAGAACAGAGTCTTTTATATGGCACTCCCCCCCAGCGTCTTCATAACCGTCTCCGAACATCTAAAGAAGAACTGCTATCCTAACAATGGCATTGCGAGAATTATCGTACGTCCCTTTTTCATGAACATGGGGTTTGTTGGGATGGGATGAGGCGCTAATGCTGCCTTCACTCAAATAGGTAGAGAAACCATTTGGAAAGGATCTAGGAAGCTCGCGTGAATTACAAAGGGCGCTGGAACCCGATTGGAAGGAGGACGAAATATTCCGCATTGATCATTACCTTGGAAAAGAGATGGTGAAGAACATCTTAATTCTGCGATTTGGTAACGAGTTTTTCGGGGCTACCTGGAATCGCCATCATATCGATAACGTTCAGGTACGATTTCCTTTGGACCCCTAAAATTGATCCGAGGCGCAGTATGACTAACATATATTAGATCACATTCAAAGAGCCGTTCGGCACGGAGGGCAGAGGAGGATATTTCGATGAATTTGGCATCATCCGCGATGTTATGCAGAACCGTTAGTTCGCACGAATCATTATTTTCATTTTACGTAAATTTTCCTGCTAATTCATCGCTCTAGACCTCCTGCAAGTCCTAACCCTTCTAGCAATGGAACGACCCATCTCGTTTTCCGCTGAGGATATTCGAGACGAGAAAGTACGTGTGCTGCGGGGAATTGATGCGATCGAACCCAAAAACGTCATCATTGGTCAATATGGAAAATCTCTCGATGGAAGCAAACCCGCATATAAAGAAGACGACACAGTTCCAAAAGATTCAAGGTGCGCCACATTTTGCGCAATGGTGGCATACATTAAAAATGAGAGGTGGGACGGCGTGCCCTTCATTCTGAAGGCGGGTAAAGGTTGGTTCTGAAGCTTCTCTGGGATCCTGGCACACGTTCGTTATTAATTTCTGGTGATATATTAGCCTTGAACGAACAAAAGACAGAGATCCGTATACAATTCCGCGACGTCACCTCGGGTATCTTCAAAGACATCCCGCGAAACGAACTTGTTATCCGCGTACAACCCAACGAGTCTGTTTACATCAAGATGAACTCGAAACTTCCTGGCCTTTCTATGCAAACCGTTGTCACAGAGCTGGATCTCACATACCGGCGAAGATTCTCAGACCTGAAGATTCCAGAGGCGTATGAATCTCTAATCCTAGACGCTCTGAAGGGAGATCACTCCAATTTCGTAAGAGACGATGAATTGGACGCCAGTTGGAGAATCTTTACCCCACTATTGCACTACCTAGACGAGAACACTGAAATCACGCCAATGGAGTATCCCTATGGTTAGCTTAACCCCACCCTAACAACTACACCCCCAAAAAATGAACCCCCCTCCTTTGTCGTGTTTACTTGACAGCTAACTCGATCTTCTCGGTTTCTTTTAAAGGATCTCGCGGCCCGTCTGTCCTGGATGACTTCACATCGTCCTTTGGATATAAATTCAGCGACGCAGCCGGCTACCAGTGGCCTCTC